CGCGCAGCCCACACAGTGTGCAGCTCCAAGCCCGTTTCCAGGTCAAGGAGTGCTCTCCTGAAACAACAGAGTTTGCAAAGCAACAGCGACTGCGAAAGCATGCAGGCGTGCTTTTAAATTTCATTGGCAATGAGGGACGCCATCAGCACAATGTCTGTGCAACTGCTCGCCAACGACAAAGTTTTCCGAATGAAAGACCGCTCTCCCAGCATCAACTTCCACTACTCTAAATGAGACACAGCTGCACACACCTTGTCGTAACATTGCACCAAACAGCCCCTGCGAATTCCTGGCATCGAAAACCAAACCTAGACCTATAGGGAAGTGCCAGCGGGTTTCAGGAGACTCAGACCTCCTCAAGCTGTTGTCGACGCCGAAGACATGTCATTGCAAATTGCCTAAGCTTAGCTTGGCACACATGCAATTCTCTGCAAATCAACAATTAATCTTCAGCCCCATCATCCGCTACGGAAACACAAAGCAGCAGCAAACGAGACCCAGGTGCTATCACAGAGTGCCACTCGCAGCTCGCAGATCGTCGACTGCTGAAGGAAACGGTTTCAGTTTCAGGACGCCTCAGCTGCGAACAAGCTCGTCAGACCATGTAGCTACTCAGGCCACTGCATTTGCTAAATCAACTTATTATTGTTAACCACCAGCCAAGCGGCGAGCGGCTCATTCAGACCTTGACAGCTCGAGCAGCTTAACGGTCTGTCAAGCTGCTCGAGGAGTCAAGGTCTGCGCGAGCCAGCTGACACTTCATTCCATGACAAAGCAGATGGTAAGCCTGACATAACAGACCCACAACCAGTGATCTGCAATCAAAGCGTCCTGACAAGTGGCAGCTTGGCGAAAGAAGTCGTCGTTGTGACTGCTTCCAGTTCTTGACCTGCCCCAATCCCAGTACACTGAAAGGGTCGCTCCTCCTGCCAAACTGACGTGATGGCGTCTGTGTCCTCATGTCCCTCAGTTGCTCAGACGCAGCTTACTAGTGACACTGGGTGGCCCGAGAGTCCTCGAAGACTGCCGGCAACGTCGCTCTTCGAAGACCATGAGGCCGTCGGTGTCGGAAGAACCAGTGCAAGGACACTTGCCATGCCGAAGACAAGGGTGCAAGTCTGTGGATGCCCTCGAGTCGATTTTTGGGCCTTAAAATGTGATCTTCAGAGAAATCCCTTAATAAAGACCTACTTACTAAGTCCATTCATGCATGGGCATGGACATGACCTTCCAACTGCTCCATCTCAAGTCTCGCCAGCGGCAGTCGATGCAACCACTTGCTGCAAGCTTCAAGTCAAGCGCCGAAAACAATGACAGACAAACACGACCAGCAGCTGAGCAGCCGGCCCGACCTCGTGGACGTCTGGGTCTACACCTGACTGAAACGGAAATTCAAGAATCATGCTGGGCATATGTGCCGCTGGAAGCTTGCTGCACCCACCAGCTATTCAAAGGCATCAAAAGACCGGCGAAACCATCATAGAAAGACTGAGTCCAGAAAGGCTGCAAGCAAGCGGAGAAGAAGTCCAACCCAGACCTGTTAAAATTGACTGATGATCCCAAGCCTAACACTGGAAGCAAAAGCACAGGGTCGCGAATCCTCGTCGTAGTGGCGAAGAAATGTCCAAGCCAGGCCTGCCGTGTTGCAGGCAAGTTAGCCGACTGTCGAATGAGTCGCTACTAACCAACTGCTGCCTGGCCGAGAAGCAGGATGTCGACGCTAGACCTTTCGCGGCATAAAACCCAGGAAGCAAAACTCACATTTCAACTGCCTTCCAAACACGGCATCTGGCTAGAAGCCGGCAAGACCACGCCAGCAGCCGACCTTTGCACAAGAACCGCCACGGCCATGTCTTTCTACCTTTCTAGCCGTTGCGCAAATCGCACAACGTTGATAGGCTGACCACTGCAAAAACTATCACCGAGGCAACTGCTGAGAAAGAGAACTTGAGGCCAAGCCCATCAGACCTGACACACAATTTAATTTCACTGCAAATGTTCTGCAAATTATGCAGAAGCTGGAATCTTGGCTGGTGCCCGCACCTTCAGTCTGAACTCCGAGGCCTTTTATGAGACTCAGTCATCTACCCTGCACTGTGACACAGTCACACAATCATCTGCCTGCGGAGTATATCAATAACAGCTGGAGCCAGGACGCAGAAGACATGATCAGCTGGGGCCCAAACGGCGCTCGAGGAGTTTGGCCTAGAGGGCAGTGGGCCCTATAGCCCGATACTGACCGCCTTGATTAACGTCCTACCCTGACACAGAGAACCTTACTGACACGTGTATTATTTAATTTTGTCTTCGGGCACGCATCGGTCTGGGAGCCAGGAACCAATTTCTCAGACACTGCCATACAAAGATCGTGCGACGCCTTGCCGAAACGACGCCCGGTCCAAGCCTCATCAGAATCGAGACCATCGACGCGGCTGTACACCAAATTAACTGTAACTGTACCGTGTCTCAGGCAACTAAATTAGACCATTGCCACCAGCGACCTGTCTTGCTTTGATCGAGCATGCGAGACCTAGACCCAGAAAAAAGCAAGAAGTGGAGCTCTTAAGCCCAATATGGGGCCCACCAGGGTTGTTCCAACAACCGGGCCACTATTCTCCCAGGTGCAGCCCCAAGCTTGTCGTTGATATGGAGTTTGGACGCACTGCTGCTTTTATTGGCTCTGTCGGGTCGAAGTCGATGACCAAAGCCAGCTCGGAGGACATGACTGCAGGCAACGCGCACAAAGAGCATGTAATGCAAGCTTCAGACTCCGTGTATAATTTATACAAGAAGTCTCAAGTCGCATTACATGCTCTCAAACCCTGTTTCAGCAGGGCAAAGACAATGCATCATGTCGAAAATTGGATTGCGCATCTCCCTCTGGCCAGCCCTTGACTTGGTAGTAGTAGTCTAGTAGTAGTAGTAGTAGTAGTAGTAGTAGTAGTAGTAGTAGTAGTAGTAGTAGTAGTAGTAGTAGTAGTAGTAGTAGTAGTAGTAGTAGTAGTAGTAGTAGTAGTAGTAGTAGTAGTAGTAGTGGTAGTGGTAGTGGTAGTGGTAGTGTAGTAGTAGTAGTAGTAGTAGTAGTAGTAGTAGGAGCAGTGGTAGTAGTAGCAGTAGTAGTTGTAGTAGTAGTAGTAGTAGACGAAGTAAGCAGTAGTAGTTAAGTCAAGTCCTTGAGTCCTGTCTATGACACCCTGATTCATCTAGGTCTGCCGAGTTGAGCCAGTTTTGCTGCAGTCGGTGTGCCCCGTCACTGGACCTGCTCACCAAGACCATGAAACCCGTGAGATGGTTCCCTGCTGTGCGTTCCGGCTGCTGCTTGTGGCATGTGGGAGCTCTACTTTCATTCATGGTTTCTGTGTCACAGCGGCCCTGCTGATGCAATCATCGGTTTAATCATGTGACACCTGGCAACGCGCATAGCCACTGATCATATGCCAAGTTCAAGACCTTCCATGGAACACACGTCCTCTAAACTCCCGTCGGGCTTCTACGAACACAGCTTCTGTCAGTGGTGCCCCAGCCTCCAAAAGCCCAGACAGGAAACCAACTTCAATCCAAGGTGTAGAATCAGAAGGACAGATGCCACCTGACTTAATCAATTAAAGGCGGACAGCGAACAGCCACGAACCAAGCCTGCCAGGACTTGTCATTTGAAGCCGTGCGCGGCAGGCACCTGCACACGAGCCAATAGATTTCGTGCGACGAAACTGCATCGTAGATGTTGGAAGTCAATGATTCATGCAGCGGTTGCAAAGTTTCGGGGGTCCCTGGGGTTTCTGCCTGGGGGATAAGAGTTACTTAAGATACGACATGACAGGAGTTCCACTGTGATCACGGCAGTCATACACAAAGTCATCTTCCAAAACAAGCTACGGGGCCATGCTGACCCCTCAATTTTGTTAGTGTTGCCGCTAGATGCTGCTTGTTGGGGTCAGAGGCATGAAGCACTTTTTGTCGGTGCTGCAACACGGCCCTGCATCACCTGCTTGTGACCTGAATCCAGTGGAATTAGCGTTGTCATCACTTGATCTTGGAAACCAAGACTCGGTCCTAGACCTAAACTCTCTGCCTTCCGACACCAGCTCACTCTGGATTCAAGTATTTCCCACAGCGGACAGACTTAGACTTGGTGACACGCATATGGCGAATCAACCCCGGGATATCGGCGAAGCTTGAAAGCTTCATGTGCTTAGACCGAGACTTGCTCGGGGGCTTCTCATCCACGATGCTCCACTTACTGCCGCTCACTTCCGTCAAGAGCCGCAGTAGCTTGGTGTAGTTCTCGCGCTTCTGAACGAAGTCTGGGGCCAACTCCAGTGCAAGCTGAGACTTGATAGCTGATTCGTGCTCTGTGCAGTGGCTGGCGAGTGCCCTGAAGTCCCCAGCGCTTTCCGTCCAGGAGTTCTTGGAGACCATTGGGAGACCCAGACCGAAGCCCACCAGCAGCCCTTTGATCACTTCGGACTTCATCTCTTGCCTTGTAGAGCAAAGATGACTCATGGCAAGAAGAACTTAAACTGTTTCCTAAGTTCTCAAACGAGATATGCCCGTTGAACGGATTCCAAACACCGACCACTACTACCTGAAACCTCACAGTGGCAGAAACTACTGAGGCACAAGCCCGATGAAGTTCAACTGGATCTCATCATCGATGATTATCACATCGGTGGCTTTGGCCAGATCGAGGAGAGACGTCATGCTGAGACCGTCTGTCCTGCACATCTTGCATCGTGGAAAGGATGTGGCGGAGGTCAGACACCTCAGCCAGCCCCCGGGTCTAATAGTTATTCGTCGCATGTTACGACTTGCCACTGTGCTGTCACTGCACTAAGCTCTGCACAAGTCCATGGCCGAGATCCGTCGTGTGTCGAAGACCAAAACGCGGTGGTGGGGTGGTTTGAAGATAGCCCCGGGACGATGTTCCCCTGTCAGGGTGGCCGAGGGATTTGCTGTCAATTCTCATTGATAGTAAGGACTAAAAGTCTTAGGAAGTCATGTCAATAAAGCCCGCCTACGGGATACGGCTCAGATCCGTCGATCTTGGCCCTCCTGACATCCAGATGCTTCTCCTTGATCGTGGCAGACCGCTCGTGAAACACCTTCATGGATTCATTCTGCTTGTAGATCTCAGAGTCCTCGAGACACCCGGCGGCCTTCCAAGCCAGCTTGGACCGCTTTGCTCCGAAAAGTTGTCTGGAGTCCACCCCAAGACCTTGGCTCAATTTGCTTCGAGCCCGCTTCTGAGCAGCAATCAAGGACGACTCCGTTCCTTCGCGGGGACCTCGCCGAAGACCACAGTCCTGTCTTCTCTTGTAAACATGAAACCTGCGGCCGTGGTGGTGAATCCAAAGTTCTGCCAGGCGTTTGGAGAACGCATTGAGTTCCAGCAGTGGGGACCCAGACCCAGATCCAGGCACAGCTAAGGCCACCTGAACCTTCTTGGAAAGCTGAAGAAGACCTGGACCTTGCTCTGGGAAAGTCCTTCGGCAGACCTCTGCCTCGTCCTGTGGTCCATCCAGTCGCAGCTCCAAGGCAGCTTCAATATCTTGGGATTCAGACTGGCTTGCCCCGCAGTGGGATTCGACAAAGCGGCGAAGCTCCGAAAAGTTGCGCTCCAGTGTGCAGGATGAGACTTCCAAGGACAGGTAGAAAGACAGCAGCACGTTCAAGACCGTCCAGTTTTTGTCCATCACTGTAGCCCAAATGCCGCGATTGTCGTTGCCGATCTCCTTGTCCGTGTGCTTCGAACAGAGGTAAGACCTCGAGCCATCAATGTTGTGGTGTTGATGTTTCTTCAGGTTTAAGCCTAGGCCTATTCACCCTCGCTCCGTAGAGTTTGGACAAGACAAGTCAAGGAAACCCATGATGTCATGGAGACCCAATGTGACATTCTTAGGGCCGGGCGCAGCGTCTCTGTACTGCTGAATACCAACAGTTTGCTGGTCGTGGTCCATGCCCAAGTCCTTCAACCAGAGACGGACCAAGACCTCCAAATTGACCTTCCCCACGGTGCTGGACTTCCGCCACAAGACCAAGTCCAAGGCCCTGAGTGTCATCTTCATCTCCTGGTCTGGGAGCTCTGCTGCCACTCGGCCAAGAAAGGCCTGTGTGGTCACCTGAAAGCTAGAGACCGTTTCCTGGACCTCTGGCATGCGACCGGACCCGGAAGGCCAAACGTTGTAGACCTTGCCATTGACCTGGATTTCCGGTGTCTGCATGGCATGCTTCGCGGCCAAGACCACACCTTATCTGTGCGAATGATTGTTACACACAGGGTACAGAAATGACACAATATAGTCTCGAAGTTGCTCTGTAAGCCTACAGGTTATGCTGTGTATCTTTTATTTTGATGCGTCCGGGCACTGGACTGCTCTTCATCTGGGACGTCCTGTAACTCGTCAAAGATGCGAGCTTCCAAAAACAAGCTGGTAATCTTGGCTTTGAAGGCAGCGATGCGGCGATGGACCGTGGCCACGTCGAAGTCCTTTTCCCACTCACGCAAGAAGCCCGTGACCTCACTGCCAAAGTCGGCCGCCAAGCCCAAGGCGATCAAAAGACCGGGCCGCATGCCGGCCAGAAGCTTGTGACACTTCGCACGCAGCTGAACACCTGTACGCTGGTCTGCGGCAGTCATTGCCATGAGCAGCGCTATCGGCGTCAGGAGGTAGATGAAGCGGCCTCGTTTGCACCACAAGAACTAACGACAAATGAATTGAACACATCTCCCCTCTACCCCACCTTAAAGTTTAAAGCAGTCTCATGCCGCCGCGAAACGCAAAGGACAGGCTGCACTTTCCCATCTCTGCGGAGCCCAACAGAAGTGTCGTAGGTTAGACCGCAAAATGTTGTGGATAGCCCCATCCTTCTCCAAGACCGACCTATTCAAAGTCATCAGCCTGGCCCTCCATTCGTGCGAATGTTGAAGGGCAGGGAACAAGGAGCCTGCAGACAGACCAGGGAGAGCTTCATTTCGAAACACATGCTACTGCTAAGACAATTAAGACCTGATTCTGTTTAGACAGCCCGGCCGTCCCCACTGTTGATGAGACCCCACAGCTCCTCCTGCTTCGGGTCGGCCGCTAGAGGGGGCTGGTAGGAACACCGTAGCATGTGCGCCATGTCTCGAGACAGCAGTACTATCTTCGGATAGTACCGAGACCTTAAGACCCTGCCGACCTTCTGGACGTACGGACATCCGTCCGCGCAGAAGCTGCGGACGTTGTTGCGGAAGACCTGCATGAGTCCTTCGTCCGGTTGGTCTGAACCCATTGGTGTGCAAAAGACCTCCACCAGATGATGAACCGTCGCAGCCGCAGACACGCTTTTGTCCTCCTCCCACTTCTCCGGGTTGTCCAGCAACAGCTTGCTGCTGTGCATGCATCCAACGATGCCACCAAAGACCTGCCCATCAGCCGTACAGCACTTGAAGCGCAGCAGCCTGTAGGGGGAGAAGCCCTTGTCGTCCAGACACAAGCAGATAGACCTGGCCTGCTGTAGCTGCTGGCGTTTTTTCTCCCTGACACACTCCCGCAGAATCAGACGCATCTGGGCGATGGCACGCCGCTCGACCTCCTTGACCTGCAGTCTGTTCGAAGAAATGAATTGCTGAGTCAATGAAGACCTGGTTGACCCGCGGGAAGACAAGTTGACCCGGACCGTGTCAGACCATACCGACAGCCAGTCGCTGGGTTGTGGAACAGACCCTTTCAGCAGGTCCAAGTCTGAATCGCAGCTGGGCGTAGCGAAGACCTGGGCCTGTGCAGGAAGACGAAACAGCCTCCATGCGGCCATGTGTTGGTCGCTCTGGCTGTGCTTCTTGAATGCACACGTTTGCATGCTGGCAATGCCGTCAATCTCGAAACGGCTCCATTTTGTGCTGTAGCTGCGCCTCATTTTTGCAGAGCCCTTGTCCAGCTGTAGACGAAGAACCATCTGCGCACAAAGAAGAACCATCTGCGCACAAAGTACACATCCAAGACCCCACTTTGGACGGCAGCGCTCCTCCAGCCAGACCGTACGAGACCCGTTCTCAGAATGAGAGCCGACCGACATTTGCCATGTCTTGCCACGAATACGAAACTTCTGCATTGCAGTCATTCCATCTTCGTCCTGGCGAGCTGCTTTCTTTCGGGGTACCTCAGAGACTGAGACCGAAACCTTCGGCCCAGACGTGGCTGCCCGAAGATCTGCAGCACGATGCCGGCGTGGCCTGTCCTTTAGCACGACACTGTCAGACAGTTTTTCTCGAGGTCGAACCACCATGGCTCGACCTAATCGCCGAAGTCCTCTAAGCCCATGAAAAAAACT